AAGTTAATGTATGTATATATTATAATGAATAATCGATAAAAATCATATAAATACATTATCATAATTTAAATTCTGTAGAAATATTTAATGATAATTTTTCCATTTACATCTTAAATGTGCTTTAATTTGTAATGTCTGAAAGCGTTAAGTAATTCCTACATTTCGTATCAGTTTTAGTTTTCATTAGGGGTACCTTGGAAAATAGATTAATATTATGTATGTATTTAAAATATAAAAATATACAATATATGTGTATATATTCAATTAAATAAACAAGTTAATCTGTTTTGTAATTGATTATAATTTGTGTTAATGTTTATTTAAATTCTGTGATTTCTGTTCAAGTAACTCTCCTGTATTTATACCGTGCAGGAAAAAAGTTTATAATTGTGAATATGGTGAAATATCATCGACTCCTGAAAATTTTAATATATCGCCATTTATTACAAGTAGCGCCGCCTGTGGCAAAACGCTGTAACCGTTAACCAAAATGAATTGCTGGTAATTTTGCCTACCAGTTTCAGCGTTTTGCCACTACTTGTAATGGCGCTATTTTTATATTTTCTGGAACAGATGATTCATGCCGGATTTTACACTATATTTTTTGGAAAATATGGCAAAAATCATCCGTCCTCGATATTTGCAATAATAAATAAACTATTTTCGCATGATATAGATGCAGGGCAGTCTCCTGAACGTTTCTGTACCCTCAGAGTATTCTCTAACCGTGAAATTTCTTCGATGAATGAGATTCGGATAAATGGAGTAGTATTCCGACTGTCCGGCATTATCTCACTTCGAGGAAAGTGAGGTGTCAAGTCTAAGTCGACTGTTCTCCTAAATGACTACTACTTAATAAAGCTAATAAAATATTGTATCAGATCGTTAATTGTATGTGAATATCAGTTGAATCGTGGATCTACTGTGATTCTAACTATTAATTTGCCTGTCATGAGTAACTTGAGAAGTTTCTCAGAACACAACAATGAAGTAATAATACAATTCGAATTATGCCAAGGGCAAGTTACATGATTGTAAGTGCTTGATTGGTGTTCAGAAAACTAACGTTTGCAGTTACGGTTCCTGCTCCTTAATTGCGCACCAGCGGCTTCATTTTGAAGAACAATATTCTTTCGACACAACGTTGTCTTCTGATTGCAAGAGACCGAACGCTGGTTCCGTCGGTGAAAAGTCTTCGAATTACTAACAGAGTAATTTGTATTTATGTATTAATCTCTGTTGCGAAACCATTCGCACTTCACTACATGATATTCACAAGACGATTATTGCGATTGGCTACGATAATTCACGATTAAATTCTAGCTCTAGAGAAAGTTAGAGTAAACATTTACATATTTTTATTTATCTCGCAAAATGTAATGTACCTGATTAAAATTTATTTAGACACTTTTATAAGGTCATCTCGTAACTGGAATACGATCAATGATTAAAACAGTAATAAACCTTTGCACTCGTTTTCTTTTTATCTCTGCAACGTAATACGTATTGAAAATCTGTTCCGTTAAACGGGATTATTTAGTTGTGAGCTTGTATAACATCAGCTAGCGCGGCCTCGGCATAGGGAAAAATATAACAATTGTTACGCGTTCCTGACATTGAAGCTCAGAAAAACATCTCGTGGGAAATTTTCATCGACATTCACGCGATTCTATGAAAGATCACTCGACTGCGATCAAATATACACATTATTTCCGATCGACTTCTTCCGATCTCAGATCGAAGCGCACGCTTAAACGATAACTATGATACGTTTAAATTATTCATCCGAGTGATTCATATTGAGTCACTTACGTTCTAATTGTCTACTCGTACAGATGCCGCGTTAATTAAAAATCCGTTTGAAATATTGCGATCAACAATTCGATAAGTTAATTGTCTTTAACTTGATCGACAGCGTTGATGACAACTCTTTGACAAATCGAAAACGAAAATGATGCACCCGATTGTACTGATTGCTATCTCATCGGCAATGTCTACAAAAGAGTTATCGCTATTTCGAGTAATTGCACCTCGCGTATCTCATTACCGTCGATTGCATATAAATGCATGGATTTATCGTCGAGTCACAATTCAGTTCTCCTGGGGAATAATTTGTGCAATTAAGTCTAATGCATACTTTCTGAATTGCTGGAAATTCGCGTACCCGTCTGTTTGGCGTTTATGGTCTTGGTACAACTTCATCAATTTTTCTAGCGTATCTTTAATTACGTCTGTCTCCATTTACTTTTAACAACCAACTTTTCTGTCGCGGTTTTAATAATATGTATTTCCTTTCGGCCACAATCCTTTGAATCGTCGTTCGATTTTATAAAAAAAAAAGAGGAACATCGACCGTATTGAAATCTCGAAAAATATGACCCTTAGAGTACTCTGGTATTATGAATCGTACACATTATTATCTCAGAGAAATCGTCCGACACGTATCGAAGGACAACTCTAACAACTCTTGAAGCCGGTTGCAAAATTGTTTTCTCGGTCGTGATTTCACGAGGCGCGGCGCTTTATGACCGATGATTGTAAGGGGGACACAGAGAAGGAGAAAAAAAAACAACATATCGTAGCATCTATTCGAGGATCATAACCGTGCAATCTGCTTTCACCTTTTCACGATCGTCTGGATCACAGGGGAGGAGCAAAGGAGGAACCGTGAAGCGTCGCGTGACATTCCGTGCGAAAGATAACAGTCTAGGAAGTCCGACCAGAGATAATGTAGAGCGTTCTCCCAATTTGGAACTTTACGTAGAAGATAAGGTCTTGTTGGATAATATATCCTTGCACAAGCGACCCGCGTTAAAAACGTCTTTGAAAAGTTTCACTCGACGGAATTGATCAAAATAAGAGGAGAAGTTAGCAGGGCAGATAAAACTGTCCAGAACCTTCGAATACCATAATTAAATATTTCTTTTGATGTATTTCAGGTTTTCGATGATGAATATGAATGGCAGAAATCCGATATTCTGCACCGGAGGAATCAGTTGCGGTGACTTCTTAGCACCTGCTCGACTGCTTCGGAGCGATCCGAATGTTCTGGAAAAGACAGACGTGCTTTTACTTTTACTCGCAGGATCCTTCGCTCGATCTTGCATACAGTTGTAACTGTTAATTGCTGTTCAGATAAATGTCACATGGCCGTCCGTCCGTTTGAAATATTACCGATGCCCGTTTGCTATTCGTAGCGGAATTACATAATATTAGCTTATCTAACTGCACTGGACGGACGACGTTCGATTCGCTCTGGAACTTTTTTCATGATCAATGGGATTCCTGTGCAGTCTTGACAAGCTGAAACTTTTCTGAGACGTCAGCGTCGAGCAATTAATATCTTGTTGATACTTTATCGGGATATTTTCAAAACATGCAGATAGGAGAGATATAAGCGAATATTTGCGCAACTGCAAGTCTGCGAACGGACGCGATAAACCGTAGAATCCGGGGCGAATTTGTATAAATTTCAGAAACCACGGGTTATAAATCTCGAGCCTGGTCTCCTTTCACTTTCGAATTTTTGGCATATGATAGTGTCGGTACTGCATAATTTAGGCGGATCGCGAAGCTGCACGCGCGGATCCGATAGCAATGGCTCCAAAAAATTACTTCGCGAGTACGAGAGCGACTGTAACACGGTTAGGGATATCTGCAGGTTTTGTAATGCTTAACAGAAGCAGAACTGATTCAGTTCCACTTGTTGATCCGTCTCGAGATTGTTCTAGAAGCTGGTAGCGTTCGAACGAAGAGCTCACCCTGAGCATCAGCATCTTCGATAAACGACGAGCAGGCTTCATCAGCAGAATCTCGAGAGGTAAACGTCGGTTCTCGAGATAACGTGCAATGACACCTATTCGATAATGTGCTAAGGCGACGCATTCCGTGATTCATGCGTTCGTTTCATAGGCTTTATGTCGAGGTGCAAGATTGTAAGCGTTCCGTTTCTCCCTGATTGCAAATCATAAATGAAAAATAGAGAGGTCTAATGATTTATGACCAACTGCAATAAATCATCAAAAGGGTTTCGGCAGATTTACAGCGTTCCTTTTTCTGACCCATCGGTTAATTGCATCGTCCTCGTCAAGTATGTCTTGACTCTAATCGGAGCCCCTTTTCTGGAACACAGGGATTTTTGTCGATGTTGTTGGCCTGCGCAACCGTTGCAACTTCGGTCGAATTCGATATTACGGATTAGCCACAATAATATCTGCCATGTGGCACACCGATGACGGTTCACCTATAAAGTAAAGTGGACCCATTATAAGCTCAAGCAGAATGTAATTGAGTGTAATTGCATTAACCCTCGCAGCATCGGCGGTTGCGAATTCCCATGATTAGGTCCAAACAGACCCGTGACCTTATGTACGCGAACATTTTGAACTAAAATCTTGTTGCCATTATCGTCATTATTATTACTATTATATTGCCGTACTTCTTTTAAAAACTTTAAGCAGGGTTGTACTAATCATATAATTGAACAATACAAGAGTATAAATAAACGAAACGAATATAAATAATTCGCTCTAACATATTAGAGTGTCCCATAAGTTCTTTCCGTAGGTCTTTCCGAGTACGTTTCGTTGGCAACAAAGTTCCCTATAAAATTTTTTCTGCGCCGTTCGCCAGAATTCTCCGTACTCCCCAGTCATTGTTCCATCCGATTATTGCTTGTTCTTCCCGTTAAAAAATTCTCTCCGTGAAAAACGGTTTAAATTCGTAAGCGAAATAAAACCGCACCTTGATCAATATTTTGCAAATAAGCCTCAAAGTATAATAAATGAGGCCTCCTGAAAGATGGAAGAAGGTAATATCACAGAATGGTTCGTATATAACTCGATAAATCAGTCTTAAACAACAAATATTGTGTAATCGTTTCGCATCAGAAAAAAGGAAGGAACTTAAGGAACACCCTAATAAATAAACGGTCAAGGCAGGCCTCGAGTTCTGGATCCGAAAAGATCCGGGAATGGTACGGCGAAGGTTAAATTATGGGATACTTTTATCACGAGACGAGCCTTTGTGTTGCTACCCCGTCGCTTATTGGCAGAGTAACCCGACCTTCTTCATTCGTCGTAAAATAAAAATACAAGTTCCCGATCAATCTTGAACAAAACATATGCGATCATCCCTTAGTCTATTCAGAAGAAACGCGGAAGTTCCATCGAATGCGAAGATCTTCGTTGCATTCTCGATGACCCGAGCTTTCGTGCACCTGGGGAACACAGTCGAGAAGCGATGTCCCCGTGTTGCCGTCGCCGCTGGACAAACTTCTCGTTGGAAAGTGGCAAGGGCTCGAAGAATGTCGTCCCGTCCGCTCCGCGTGCGGAGTCATCCGCGAGGCCTGTCTTCCGTCACGCGGATAAGGTCGAAACAAGCGACCCCGTCATTTTCATCATCGGGAGCCGGTCGGGGGAGAGTCGTCCGAAGAGAAAGCGGAAGGAGCTGCGAGAGAGAAGCTTTGTTACGGGCAAAGTCGTGTTCGCGCGGCCGCAAAGATTAAGAGGAATCCATTTCGAAGGTGCACAAAATCGGTAAACGTTACGACGCCGAAGGCAGAGGAGGCAGACGAACGTTTGGCTGATCGGATCCGGAGAAACAGGATCGGCAGCACAAGGTCACTACGAATACGTGGGTGGAGAGGCAAAGATGGCGGGACGATGACCTAGAAATGAACCAGTCGGCTGGAAGACTCGAAATCGGAGCTGAAGAGAGGCTTCTTAGTCGGACACATTAGGTCCGGTATCGTTAAACTTCGTGCTTCGATTTGCCGTTCGTCATTAAACTGTCGCAATGAATTCATGCACCGAGGATGTAGTAAATCCTTCAATTAACCCCTTGCCATACTTTGACGAGTGCGACGCGTGATGGAGATTTCTAGCAATAATCTGTTAAACATGAATGTTTTCCCGTTCTTTTTTGTCCGAATAAAATTCTGTTTTTTTGTCATCATTATTTAAACATTTACGTAAACGTTGAGACGCAATAAATATAAATTATCTTTTTTCTTCTTAGAAATTATTACAATCGAAAAACTTCTAATCATTGTAACCACGAAGAAAATGATACGGCAAGGGGTTAAATAAATTCAATAAATACTTAGATTGTCACAAGACATTGCGTTGAAATACAGAATTATTATTATAAAAGCAGTTTAACGGAAACAGAGACTTTCTGGGATGATTTAACACTAAACCTAGCAAGCCGGCCAAAATGGCCGGCTCCACATTTCGTATTTCAAGATTGCTGAAATTCTATAGACTCTTTCGTAGCAAATGTTCGAATAAATTTCTTAACTCAAGTATTTACTGTAATGAAAATTGTGGTATAAATGTAGTCGATGTAAATTCAGTCTTACCATTCTTACACAGCAACACACATTCGTCACTTTCAATGCACGTGCAGTTTTAATGTTAACGCTTCGAGAAGACAACTAAAATTGAAGTGAAACTCGAGGCGGAGATAGTAGCAGATAAAAGGTTAGTTAGGTTAATTAGGAGCTAAGATGAAGACTTCGAAGTGTGCTGACGATGTTGCAAGCCGAAGCTTCTGAACGTCGTAGAAGCATCGAGTTAAACGCAAGCGTCACGTAATTACAATTCGAAAGTTCATTACGGGGAGAATATCGATTCGTGTGCTGCCATTTCCACCGAAATTCTGCTTTGCTTGAAAAGAATATGCTTTCGCGCAGCATCTGCGCGAATTAACCGTCGTCCAGGAGGATGCCGGGCTGTTACGCTTGAAATTCCACGAACTTGCTCCGTGCCGGTGATTCAGAAGGTTACAGTCTCTTCACCTGGGATAAGGACGCCGATGGGCAACTTTCCCTTTCTCCTTCGCTTTCCTATCTCTCGCGATTTGATGCCACGGGCCGCGCTTCTCCGTTTCGTCTTGATAATTAATTTCCGTGCGAGCAGAAAATATATTCCTCCCGTCGGCCTCTCTTTTTACCTTTTATTGCCCCGCGAACAGAACATTCTAATAAAGAAACGGCCGATCTTGCTCGCAAAAAAAGGCAAATGGAAAGTGCAGCGCGGTAGAATTTATTTTCGCGAGCAAAGGATAACGGCGCTCGGGAATCAATGCGACGCGGGTCATGCACAATGGGATAACTACTTTGTGTCCATTATTCGCTGTTCTCTTTTTTCCCCGGCGATAAACATTGCGGCTCTTTGCATATTCTTTGTTTTTCGCTTCTCGATCAAATTATTCCGAGCGCGTTTGTTGCTGCCACGTGGACCGTGGATCTTTTTGCTTTGCTAGATCTCGTGCAGTAAGATCGAGCGAGCGTCGCTTGCTATTCTAGAAAACGACTGGGAATATCGTCGAACGGGTTGCTATTCTTCCGACATGCTTTTCAACAATGCACAGATCCCGTGTTTTACTTTTACCGTGTAAAACTGAACGATGCATCGATCTCTATCGGCTCGAAGTTCCGAGTCCGCAGGATGAAGTTTCGGTTCTCCTCGTTCCGGACACCGGTGAAACGTTTCCGTTAGTTTTTCATCATACTCCGCGAGCACGGTGCTCGATGCTACCGTTAAAGTTTCTCATAAATTAGATGAACTTGTTGCGCAACGGTTATTGACCGTACACCGACACCGGCTCTCGAATCCTTCCTACACTTGTTGCTCCGAACGGACAGGAAGAAACTCTCAAAGCCATCGGTTGCCCGTGTACTTGCACGTCGGACAATGATTTTTCATACGGGACACATGCGCCCGGTATGCATGTAGTCGCATGCAAAGCTACCCGAAGAGAAGCTATTTCAACGAAATAGCGAAAGTTCGCCGCTGAGCGTGGCCCAAGCACGCTGTGGAAACATCGACATTATTGCATTGAACCGTAAACCGCTTCCGGTCTCCATTATTTAATTTCTTTACGGGCTATCCTTCCAATCCAGTTTCTCGCAGAGTCATTAGCGGACTTATTATCCGACGATCCGTTAAAAAATTCCAATTACCTCGCCGGTATTCCGGTCAGGTTCGTGGGATTCGTGATTGTCATTCCGTTACTGGAAATCCGATGGTAAAACAATTTATTAAAAACAATATTACTATTATTATTATTATTATTATTATTATTATTATTATTATTATTATTATTATTATTATTATTATTTATTTATTTAATCGTTCTTCAGAGATCAGTCTATAACAATTTGCCAAGATATTCTTGCCTGTTACAATATTAGATAAAACTAGGTTTTATTAAATAAAAGTGGGTCACGTTTGTGTCGGAGTGTATTCTTACATTTACATATTAACCTAAGTTTTTAACTAACACTCAGTTTTTATAATTATATTATAAATAAAATATTAATTATAATAAAATATTAATTATATTATATTGTATTATACCTTATCCGTTAAGTATAAAGGACTGTATTTTAACACTAGATTTACGGAGCACAAAAAACAGTATATTAGTTTATAAAAGTAACAATAAGATATTTATTCTGATTCTTAACAAGTGTTATTGTAACACTTGGCGTAAGTAACGTATAAATTGTATAAATAACTCATAAGCGTATCTTTACGATATGATTAATCGTAATTTGACGGGATTAATCGTAATTTGACCCGCCATTTTGACGGGTTCCGTAAATCTAGTGTTAAGACTATTTACAATAAAATATATATAAAAGATTTTCTATAAAATAATAAGTCTATAATAGGTCTATAACATAATAAGATAATACAAATAGGATAAAATCATATATAATCAGCATTTACGAACAATACATCTTATGATTCTTGCCATTCTCCTCGCGCGCAGTCCGGGCCCGATGCGGCCCGAATCATTAGAGCTTCGCGAACGCGGGTCTCCTAATTGAGTCTAATTAGGCTCGCGGGCGACGATACGCTTTTACAGCCGTTCGTAATCAGGATTTCACGAGAGAGGCGCGACGGCCACGGAGAGATTCAGTTATATTCTTCGGCGAGCGCGTCACGTGCAAACACGACGAGACGAGGAACGAAAGGGAAACGAGTTCGCCCAGGCTCTCTTCCTTGTGCAATACGTTTCGAGTCGCGTGACGCGGCCACGAATGTCGTCAGTCGCCTTTGTTTGCCCGCCATAAGAGAGCCTCCGTTATCCGAACGGATACGAGGACGAACAACAGATCCTTATCGAACGAGACCACTTCGCGGCTCGGTACCACTTCTTCGACCGTTCGACTTCCTCTATCCGAGCTACGGATCTTTTTATGTAAATTCACGTTTTTATGAATCATCTCGTAGACGCGAAAATGACGCGATGAAACCGCCGTTCCGTCGGTGCCGGGATATAGAACAAATGTTGCTAGTCGCTCCGCGGCTGGAACGGTTCGTTTAGTTCGACGTGTATTTATGAAAATCGTGGAAAGACGTATAATTCAGAGATTTAGCGACACGCGTAAAACTTTCTTCGGGAGAGTAGAAACGTCCACGGTATTTGTTCGTGGAAACTGAATTTTAGACGTTTGTTGAATAATCCTCGGTGTACGGTAAATTCCCCCTAATTACATACATTGTACAGTAATTTCTCCCTAATTGACGCTCAGATTGTACAGTAAATTCTCCCTAAGCGATAGGTGTCCTCTCGTAGATCAAGCTTTCTTGATATAGTGAAATTAATTTTTACAAAGTGTCTTAGAATATCTTCTTTAGAAAAAGATAACTTCACGTGCAATCTATACAGGATGTCCCAAAATTATGTTACTTCCGGGAAATGAGGGTTTCCTGAGATCATTTGAAGTAACTTCTTCCTTTATAAAAATTTTCTCCGAGGCATCGTTAACGAGCTATTAACGAAAAACAGTGACCAATGAGAGGCGAGCTCGGCTGGCGCGAAGCGGCAGAGCCAATGAGCGGACGAAGACCAATTCCGCTGGCCCTGTTGCGCCAGTCGAGCTCGCCTCTCATTGGCCAGTGTTTTTCATTAATAACTCGCAAACAAAGCCGTGGATTGCATTTTCGCTGAGGGAAAAGTTACTTCGAATTACCTCAGGAATCCCTTATTTTCCGAAAGTACCATAATTTTGGGACATCCTGTATAGTGATGAAGTAAAAATAACGATGCAGTCTGGTTGCTATATTGTTCATTATAACTAAAAAATTGAGGATTCAAAGCATTTACGATCAAAATGAGTGTCGTTCGAAGAATTGAAAAATATCTTCTCGACGTACTAAAATTAATTGAAGAAGGAAATTTGTGTCCATTTCGTTTCTGTTCCTGGCCATTCCCCTAGGAGGTTTTTATTTTGCACGAAGATCTAATTAAAAATCTAACAAAATTTGAAGAACCTTTTCCGTTCCGTTTCAATTGCATTGTCACAGAGAATATTCTCTAACTAGCAGCTCGTTATCATTCTCGAATTTTCAAAGCAGTTTTGGTGAAAGGCGGAGCGCTGCCCGACATGTGCACGGAGCCACCGAGTTACATAAAAATAAAACAATCTAGCGAGATTGCCTCACGAGCCAGAGTACCCCACATCACAATTTGCATTTTCTCTAGAGCAACCAGGTGTCCGGTGACTTATGGACGCTGGTGTACACTCGACGTACAGATTGCTTCATAGCTCGGATAGCACTGAAAGCATGGTTTTCAGGAATCGTTCGGCTGCTTGGCTCGCGATTAGGACGCGTGCTTTGCACATTTTTATACAGCGAGAAAGAAGCCGATACACCGAGGAGAAAGTCCCATTAGCTCCTCATAAATTACACAAAAAGAATTATATCATTGAAGTACATAATCAACGGCGAAATTACGAACCGTCCCTCCCAACGATTCTCTTGTGTCTCTGTAAAACGCGAACAAAATTTTCCTACGGAAAGGTTCGATCAACCAGACAAGTCGTGTGTACAACTTTACATAACCGATCGAGATTCCCTCGCTAATTATTAGGTTATTATCATTATTATTATTATTATTATTATTTTATTATCATTATTATTTATTATTATTATTTTATTATCATTATTATTTATTATTATTATTTTATTATCATTATTATTTATTATTATTATTTTATTATCATTATTATTTATTATTATTGTTATTATTAGTCATTAGTCCGATTTTTCATCGAAGATTATTTTATATTTTTTTATTTATCTTTTTGTTTTTTATTTCAATTATTTCGAACCCTTATCCGTTCAGTGAAAGCAAAAACTCGTTTGTCCCGGTGACTCATGGTGGGTAGAGACGAACAATAGATTCTACCTAGCTGCATCCGAAGTTATTCATGACTCGACCGAACAGCTCACAGTCTCCGGCGATTCCAATCGACGAATAAAAAAAGGCTATCCCGATTATAACATTATAACGCGACCATTACGACACCCGTGGAAAAAAGAAGGTGTACGCTGAAGGTGACCGAAACTTTCCTACGGTCCGAGCGATTCAATTAATGGGGCCTCGGGAGGGCTAGACGTGGCAGGACCAAAAAAAGAGAACGAAGGAAACCCATACACACCGAATGGTAACCCACTTTGTCATTGTATGTGTCGCGGGGACAAGCCGAATGCATTGGTCGTGGATTCGATACGATTTCCATAGTTCATCCGTGTGCGCGTGTGCCTGATCGGCGAGTATGCATGTACTCCAGGGCCAGGCCGTAGGACCCGAATGATTCGTGCCGATGATCCCGTGCCGCGGCGGGGACCGTCCGGCAGGAATCATCGCCTCCGCTTGCCGTGCATGTATGCGCGCGTGGCCGACGACGATCTAGCTTCGGACGGGAACGATTCTTTGGTGACTGGTGGTTCAAGAGGTGAGAGACCATAATGTCTGGTGGGGACCACAGAACCCCGCCCCGTGGGCAGCTATAAAATGCCGGCAAGAGAATCGGGCCCAACCAGTCTTAATCGGTACACGAGGACTCTAGATATTTTTTCCTTTTTTTCTGTCATCTCTTCCTCCTTCTTCGATCTTCGCCGGTGTCGATCCTCCTCCACTTGCAACCAACTGTCGCCATGAAGCTGTTGCCGGTCTTGTTGCTCGTCGCCGCGGTCGTCTACGCCGCTGAAGAGAAGGAGGAAGAACGACCAAAAACGTACAGGAGGCTGATACCTGCCGACGTTCTTCGCGGTAAGTCTTCCAAAAGTCTCCTTCGGAGACCCGCGAAATCTGACTCCCTTCGCGACCCTTGCCATTCTTGCGCCTGCACGAGCATATTATCTGGCTACCTGTTCGACCTGCGAGCATCTTCTTCAGCATTCTTGATCGGTGGAACACGTTTTCGAAGATCGGTCAATTCGCTCCGAAATAAAAGCGCGGATTTTAAACATTTTTTTTTTTGGAAATGTTCCACTGCGAGACCACGTTTAATGACAGCCGGATCTGGGGATAAGATTCACATGTTTACAGTTCCTTGACCCATATACACGTGCCATAACATATGGAAGCGGACGATGACAGGTGTTCGTACGTTGATCTTCTTTTCAACGTCGTCTTCGTGCTTCGACGAACCTTCGAATTATCTTCGAGATTTGTCTTCGACGATTGTCTCGATCGAGTAGAATAATCAGATCGAATAGAAGTGGACCGTGTTATAATTAGACTGCGGTTCTTCTTGCGAAGCAGAAATTGTCTGGGTCAATTTTAAGGAACAGTATTCGAATAAAAATCTATTTCTTGTTTCGATGATTTCAATAAATGGAGAAGAATGTAGGAATTTGTTTAATGTCTTTGTTAATTCTTTGAATTTGTTTAATTTCTTCATTGCTTGGAATTTTACCTTAGCCTTTTTGATCATAAATGATCATAAATCCGTAGTTTGGTTACGACACACCATGGATAAGTTAGCAAGATTTTAAGCACGAAGTTAATGAATCTGTAATTGAAAAGCACCTGCTATTTGAAAAGATCGTTTATCGTTATTCTCGAAGAAGCCATTTTCTTTCTCTATATTCTTGGTGGTTCTAATTTTGAACGTGTTCACGCCGAGGTAGAGTTTTATTGTATGCAAAATCCAGCTGAATTAATTTAGCGTGCACTAGATTTCGAAAAGAAATTTTATTTCTCCCGAATTTTCCTTCAACTTGTAAACAAAAGTGAACAATTTGAGAAGTGGAGATTCGATTATTCGAGCCTCGCGGCTCAGTTTTATAATTACCGATTGTCGACAATTATAAAAACGAGGTGCAAAGCTCGAATAATCGTATCTTCTCTTCCGAAATTATCCATTTTTGTTAATTATCGTCCACTTTAGAAAATCGCGTTGACCAACGCGCAGAAAAATCCACGGATTCTATCGCGTTTATCTAAGGATAAACCGGAACGATCGAAAACCGGTCGGACGTAGCCTTGCGCCCGATAAATAGATTCATTTATTCCACGTTTGAGATCAAGTCGACTTCCTGTTTCCCACTTTCTTCTTCCGTGTTTTGCGCTTCGTACGATTTATTGTTAACGGCGTAACCGACGGAGACTCCCTTTCTTCTGCAAAAACACCGGGACGGATCGCGTCGCGAGAAACGCGCACGCTTGTCTCGAGAGCGAAACGATTCTCGCCAGTCGGAGCGTGAAAATAATAGAGTTTCTCGAAACGACAGCTCATTGATTTGCGAGACTGATCTATTCCCTTAAGTGGAAGACCAGGATAAACGTTCGGGAACTGTAAAATCCAAAACTAAAGTATCAACTAATATTAAACGTAAAAAAGTATTAAACTAGAGTATTAAATCAGTTGCCTGGAAATGTAAGCCAATGCATTCGTCGATTTGCTTGAAAATATTGGTACGAGAAATATTAATATAGAGCAGGCAATTACGAAACTTTTGTATAAGATTTATTTTTATTTAGTTATTTATTTTAATCCCTCCTTTCGGCTTAGGATGGCCTCTGGCTGACAACTTTCTTTTGTTACATATTACCTAATACTTAATACTAAATTGCATTGACCTAGACTAAGTTATACTATCTTTCTATAAAACTATAAAAGTAATCAATTCTTCTCTTTTTTTCTGTACATTTTTTTTCTTTGTATTCTGTATAAAGTCACTGTCTCTTCGAATTTTATTTTGGCTTTGAGCCTGTGAGTTTTCTATCTCTTTGTCTTGTTCTTCCTTTTTCTTCTCTCTCTCTCTCTCTCTCTCTCTCTCTCTCTCACCACTCTCCTTATCAGTTCAATTCCTACCCCCGTATCGCTCGGGAACTCCTATCGAATTTTTTTATAAGATTCTTAATGACGTAAAATCGAGGGGCTGACTTTCGAACGAATCGGCTTAGATGTCGCGCAAGGGTTGACAATGACTGCAGAAAAACGCTGACGAGACTCGGCTTCGTCGACTCTGTTAACCACTCCCGACTCCCAAGCTTTCCATTCACAATTAATCGCGGTCCTTGAAAACGGACTCTCGTCGGCTCGCCATTGTGTTCAGACGTCGTTCATCACGTTGCCCGCCGAACCGTAACTGCGCCGTGCAAAGGCAAACGTTCCCTTCCACCGAAGAAAAGAATTACGATTGTCCAGGAACAAACAGGCGCGGCCCTGGATTCTTGATTCACCGTTACCGCGAAAGCACGATTTCGGCCGTGCTGCTAAATAGGAAACGTCATCTCGAGATCGACAAACCGTGAAAGTTCCGTCACGTCGCGCAACACGGGTTCCTCTTGACCATATCCCGAGATCTCGGTCTTTTCTCCTGATTCTACTTTATTAGGCGCCTCGCGGACAGGTGAGCCGACCGACGGGGCCCCCAAGGTGAATTACCTTTTACGGGATAGAGAACGATTAATTGTACCGGCGCAGCGGATCATTAGAATGCGGATTTTCTGCGCTCGAAAACGGAGCGAGTTTATTCAAATTCTTAGCTCTTCGTTCGAAATGAGGAAACAAACGGTGCGAACTTATTCAAATTCTTAATTCTTTATTCGAAATGAGGAAGCAAACGGAGCGAACTTATTCAAATTCTTAATTATTCATTCAAAATGAGGAAGTAAACGGAGCGAACTTATCCAAATTCTTAATTCTTTATTCGAAATGAGGAAGCAAACGGCGCGAACGTATTCAAATTCTTAATTCAAAAGTTAAACTGATATGAAATGTGCTAAAAAATTGACAGAAACGCTGGGAATAGAATAATTGTATATTAAATGATCTACTATGTGCAAACACAGAAACATCTGCGAATGATAGAGTAGAACTGAATATTGCAAGGAACAAAGACATGCGGAGGACACCGAATGCGTTACAGTTTCCGAGATCCTCTTCAAACGTTTAAACCATGCAATGTACAGTAAAGTCTCCCTAATTTTCCTTCAGCTTGGGAACAAAAATGGACAATTTGGGAAAAAGAGATACAACCATCCGGAAAATCGTTTCGAATAATCGTACCTCTTCTTTCCACATTGTCCATTTTTGTTCCCAAGCGTCAATTAGGGAAAATTTACTGTACTTCACCGCGAATCGAATTTCACACCATCTTAGACACTTTTCACAGTCAAAATTATCTTTCAACAATTTCCACCCAAGGTAAAGAATAGACGCAAGAGCAGACAATTTGTAAAAAAGAGTGTTACATCTCAGAATTCATGTATTTTCCACACGTAGCGTTCAGAATTATCGATATCAGAAAGCAGAAAGTATGTTTGCGTTTTCGACAGATAACCCGCCGACGACCTTTTTCATGAAATCTTTGAAAAGACGGTTTCGGAAGCCGATGCTCTCTTATCCCTGAAACTGTTTACTGCAGCGTAAAGTTCAACCGAGAAATTGAAGTTGTAGGAGATCGCGTACACGAAAAGGATGCTTTGACATTTGTGCGTCGAGTACTGGAATTGCAAGGAGTGTCGTAGACCTGATGAGATATTGCACACTAAGTGCCATAAGAGGGAGATAGATAGATTAGAGAGAGAGAGAGAGAGAGAGAGAGAGAGAGAGAGAGAGAGAGAGAGGGACGTCGATCGGTATCGTGATCATCGATTCCACGATTCGAGGGCCGGAGGTTCTGAGACGCGTCCTTGCCAATTCTGGGTAGAAGATATTGTAGATCGGTCCGGGGCACCCTGGCCCAGATACTTCGTATTTCTTGCTCCAGGCCTGGATTCCGATGAATGATCGAATCAGCCTAGTTGCTCCGGGCCCGAACACGGCGTCGCTTACATTTATGTACGGTGTCGCGTGTCTCGGACATGCTGAGGACACGCTATTTATACGCGCGCGGAATAAGGATAATGAGATTAGACCGCGTTACGAAACTTTTACCGTAAAGTGCACACAACGCTGCGTATCCCTTTTGTAATCGGAGATCCGCGTTTAGAGAAGAAGCGACCGATGAGATAGCGATCTCGATCTGTACACACAGATTCTTGCAGCAGTAGAGACACCGAGATCGAGACACTCGGCTGTCGCTGCAGTTTTGAATACGAGCTTTACGAGCTCTGTGAGGTCACAGAGGTCGGGACGTTTATATTTTAGAACTTAAATCGGGTCGCGATCAACGCTCGTTTCTAGAAAGGATCTAATTCTGAACTCATGGGCAATACATACAAATTGACACTAAATCTACCACGATCAAAATGGCCGATTTCTAATTTTACGATATTACAAATTTTTGAGACTTCTTCGTGGGAAATGATCGAATAAGTTACGTTATTGGAGCAAGTTTTGTAATTAAAACTCCACGAATTCTATCTTTTCACTCTTATGACTTAATGCACATCAGTCGCCATTATCGCTCGGTGTTAACGAACAAGTGAGAAAAATTGCGATTAAGCGGTTTGGTTTCGTAACAATTGCATGTTCGGCTCGAATCGTCTCAAAACGCAGGTGTCTCGGGTAACATCTCAGAACAATTTGGAACTTTTCCTACGAACCGATGTCTTGAATTATTGAATAACAGTGCACCATAGCGTAAACGTGCGTGGCTCTTCGAGTACCCGACAAATGAATTCAGCTGAAACGGTTCTGCCCGAATGGTCCCACTTTTGGGCATTCCATGCGAACAGCCGATCGATTCGAATGGTAAAATCCTCGCCGGAGTTAAGTTTCTCGATCACGAACTATACGTGTACCCGTTCCGATCGAGAATCGTCGCGGAAAGTAGGCCCGTGGGTTGGGTCGCGCCGAAAGTGGGACCCGAATGGGAATCCGCGAAACACGGTCCCGCGTCCTCAATTAAAGAAACGCCGGTGGACAATCGTTTACCCTTCGATTACCCGGTGCAACCGACGGTTGCACGACCGGCTGCTCGCCGTCTGAGAAACTTTCGAAAGGCGGCGCGCGTTGTTGAGCCTTCACGAAATAACACATCATTACGAGGAAATGTCACGTATTCATCGGAAAGACAACTCGCGGATTCGTTAAATGAATAGATACACGGCCGGGGATATAATTACCGCGATTGCCTGGCTTATCGCTTGCTTACTTAACTAGTACGGTGAATTCTCCTTAATTTTCCTTCGGCTTGTAAGCGAAAATGGACAATTCGGGGAGAGGAGATACGATTATTCGAGCCTTGCAGCTCGTTTTAAAATGAGCCGCGAGCCTCGAATAATCGTATCGCCTCTTCCCAAATTGTCCATTTTCGTTTACAAGTTGAAGGAAAATTAGGGAGAATTTATTGCAACTGAATGCAACTCGGAATTCGAAGAACAGGCACGCACTTGATATTTGGATGCTGAAGACATACTTTCATGACTACAGTACCATGGTATTAAATTTCTCCATTTATTATTGCCCGAAAAAGAAAGTTCGTCTGCACCGTCCTTAAATTATTTTATTCGGTACAAATGAAAGTTGCTTGTCGCTAGTGCGTCACTGCTCGACACTGTGCATTTATGAAAAAAATGGATAGGTGAAATGGTAAATGCAACTAAGAACGTTGATGTACTAATTTCAACTTGTTAAAATGATTTAAGGAAGGAAAAATATTGCACATGGCCCCTGTGTCTTGAAATTGTCGCAGACAATTCTTATTTTGCATAAACATCCGCAACCTGCTCGTCGCTGTGTTCAATGTTAAACGTTCCGGAAGCTGGAACTATGAGCTAGAAACCCGACTGTGCAAGCAAGAGGAAGCTGAAGTCCACGAATGTAACGTTACACCCGCTGACACGAAAGCTGACCCACGGTAGCAGACGAGTCTTACCAGTCTTAATGTCGGTGAAAGTCTTAGGTGATCGAGAATCATATTTCACCGCTTCCTTAAACACTCTCCGTCTCGAATAATGATCCGTAAGAATTACGATTCACTTGACGACGACCATTTCTAATTCCCCGTCGCTTTCGGATTCGTCGGCGCGAGCATTGTAAGATAACGGAACATCGGGCATTATTGCTGCAATTTCTGCATTATCTTGTTAAAGAATCGAAATTTCTCGCTGCCGCGAAATGTAAACACCGTGTTCGGAACATGATGAAATCGCGCACGGACAATTTTTGAAAGTTCCCGCGATGCCGTACAAGTTTCATTTAAAATCGATGGCAAATGATTGGGATCAGGTTTACGCATTTTTAAGAGAATTTAGAGGGAAGTAATTACCCGACTAGCAGACTTTTATGCAAATTCTCATTTTCTATACGATTATCCATGGTAAAAAGAACAGAGAAGTGGTGTTAGATCCAATTTATACGTTAACTTATGCGTTTTCTTGCATTTTCGAAAATCTGCTCGTGCCATGTAAATGCGCAAAGATCCGCATTCCAGCAACAACGAAAGAATAGATGCATTCAATGAAAAGGCAATTGAGTTCGACAGGCAGAAAACCGATCTCGTGACACGAGACCCGCCGATACGCGCGTGATTCAGGTGTCCCACGAGAACCGGTGCTATAGCTTATGGCACCATGGCGCGACGTGGGCGTCCGTCACGCGAAACCTTCGATGGTAACGGTGGCATTGAGAAAACGGTAACAGACACGTCATTGTTTAAATAAATCAGGTTCGCCAAAGTAGGCGAGCGCTGTGCGGTATCTCGCCTTATTTTCAACTTCTCGCTTCTTCCTCGCCGCTTCGACGCCTGTTTCGTACAGTGATTCAATTAGAGCTCGCGAAAATTACGGGGCACGGTGTACAGAGCGACAGTGAAAGTGTTCCTCCTTGAAATTTCTAACGGGCGAATTACCGGCGACAAAACATTATCGTCCTGTCGACGATACATAAACCGCGTGGTCACCGTAGAGTCGGCATGTTCCTGTCGCGAGGCTATGATGCCATAAGTCTTGCAGCGTAAGTTCGGAAAAAAAAATTGCCGCGAGAAACGCGCGACACCGGATGCACGGACAAAGTAAACGAACGCCTCCTCGTTCTCTGTCAGTAGGATGGAGACAATCGAATTGAGTCATTCAGAAAGTTCCTCAGGGCTCTAACTGTTCGCCTGGAAAGATATAAAAACTCTTCGAACGAAAGCTCAGCAATTTTCTGTTTCAGCTGCTGCAAAATTAATTTCACATTTTCGTTTAAAATATGACATCGTGACGATCGCAGAATAATTAAGGGCTTCGCAGTGTCTGAAGCAGAACACGAGAAGCTCGCGAGGATCAAGGAGATTGTTTTCATTGAAATGTTCCATTTTGTTTGAATACTATTGTCTAACGAATTAATAATATATATATAATATATAATATATATATTATAATATAAGACCGTAAAAACTTTCGATATCCATCACGCGATATACGTACCGCCATTTTGTCGGCGCAACCCCTGCGGTATGGGTCCCATCGGGCGCTGCTGATGGCAAGACAGCGCGGTTTAGCGTCAAAAGGCGTGACGAGAGGCTCGTTAAAACGATTTGTCTTGCACACGCACATGCATTAGAAAGTAACGACACCTTTCACAGTTAGCCCGGGGCCCTAGCTATCCGTATAATGCCCGCGTCTATCCATCGTGCACACTCCGGCGACGACATTCTCAAAGAAATGCAATCTTCGCGAGCCGTTGCTCATATACGATGAGATTTTACTTTTACCGGTGAAAATGCGGCCGGTGACTTACTCGGAATGCCAAGCGTTTTCGAAATTCCCTCGCACCGGTGCAACGCAAACAGAACATTGAACTTCGTTAACCCCTTGAGTCCCCTCCAAAATTCTCGTTTCGCGAGCACTATCGGGTCGAGCTGCTGACTATCTTGGAGATAACAAGAGAATCGTTAATCCTATAATAATTACAATATTATATTATAATATATAATTATTAAATATATCATATATATAATATTATATTATAATATATAATTATTAAATATATCATATATATAATATTATATTATAATATATAATTATTAAATATATCATATATATAATATTATATTATAATAACTATTATATTTTAAAGAACCGCGAATCGATCGAATAGTATCAACGCCTTTCTTTCCTCGAAATTAGAATCCCAGTAACCTGTCTACCGCGCAAGGAACACCGTCGCATTGCGCAAGACAATTTAGTGCTCCGGTAAACGGAACGCATCATTCAAAACCTTTCTTTATGTAATATAATTTATGTAATTCCGGAACACGCATGTATTCCACGATTTACGAACTGCCGACAATGAAACCGCCGCTAGTGTTACGACGTACCTATTGGGGTAACATTAACCCGTTGTTTACGTAACAGGACAAACGTGAATTTCTTAGGCATCTCGCTTAGGCTTGCGAGGCTTTCGGAAAACGTAATTTACGAGCCTTGCGTAAAATATTCGCGCGGTCTTTGGTAAAAAAAAAAAAAAAAAGTAAAACGATCGTGTTCCGTGTTTTACAATTATCGAACTATAGTCTGGTCATCTAAAGATCTGTCTGTTCCCGTAGATTTCCCGGGCATGTGCTTCGCCTCGACAAGATGCGCCACCATTGAACCAACGAAATCATGGGATCTGACACCATTCTGCGGCCGTTCGACTTGCGTGCCAGCCGATGACAATTCTGGCCGTTTGTTCGAGTTGGTCGAAGATTGTGGACCGCTGCCGAAGGCCAACCCGAAGTGCAAACTGTCCGAGAAGACGAACAAGACCGCGCCGTTCCCCGACTGCTGTCCCATCTTCGAATGCGAGGAAGGAGCGAAACTGGAGTACCCGGAGATTCCAACTCTGCCGCCGCCCACGCAGATCGTGGAAGACGAGAAAGCGTCGGAGCCTGCACCAGCGAAGGCTTAAAATGCCCGGCGCAAAAACATGTGGCCCCCGCGAGCTTGAAAAGCATCCATCGCTTTCCCTGTCCTCCGGCTTTCGTTTCGTCTCCTCCGGATCGCTGCCCGCTTCCATTGTACACCCCGAATCATGATCACAGTGTGTCGCCTAAGAAAAAAAAAACACAATTAGAATAATCGAAGCTGCTCCAGAATCCGGAGCTTATCATTTGATTTAGGGCATCGCGAGTACATTCACTCGTGGCAAATTTTATAATGATTTTCAGCGACGCCGGATGTCGCTGTCCGAATGGGAAAGATTCGACGGAAGACGTGTTCGGGTTCGCAGAAAGATCGGTTCCGGCAGCTAAATTGTCCGCGAAAATGAAATCGGAATGCAATTGCAGGAGATCGTTGAGGAGAAAAAAAAAGCATTAGGACAGAAACGCATAGTTGCATACAAGGAGGAACGTTACTTTCGTCGTCGCGCCTCGATGCGCACCCGTTTCGTCACGAGGAGGCCACATCGCAACTTCCTGTTACCCTTCGACGCGATTCAACTTCACGCGAGGCTATTATTACATTGTATATAATTATTCTCTATGCACTTGCATGTTTCTTCGTTTTATTATTATTTTTTTCCTACTTTTTCCTTTTTTAATGATCGAGTACGAAATTCCACGGAAAGCATTGGAACCGTTATGAAAAAGAAATTCTACGGCAGGATTATCGTTGATCGTTGCGTGAATGGCGTCGTCTTCACAGTATCGTGTCTGTTCAGTCTCCTAGTCCCGGAAATGAGATTCAGATGCACACCGTTCGTTCTTAATTCCAGCTGTAACCATCGTCCCGTAGAGTAACAATTATCTTGTCTTTTCTGGAAGTAGAAAGCTCTGCGTATATAATGTAAAAACATGTGTGATTGTAACTATATGTGATTAAATTAATACCTATTTAATTCAACAGTGGTCTACAGCCTTTCATTTCCTCGTCAACGTAATCGTTCCGGTGCGATTTGCAATTGACTTTGAATAAGATCGCGTTGTTCCCTCGGGAAAATTCGAAATTAATTATCGTATTGCTAAAATTTCAGTCGCTCGAACTGCAATTTAGGTGAAAATTTGAAATATGGATTATAAGAATGACATGTGCGTTCAAATGAAAATAATAACTGTCAATGTCACGGACGAATTTAGATTATAAAACGGTCAGATTCGAATTCAAACTCAAACGTGCAACATGAAGTTAGCAGATTTACGAGTTCAGTTGATCTCACTTTCGTACTCGAATGATAAAGATCTTGGAATTATTGTATTCCGTGAAGTTAAACGATTTCGTATTAAAGCTGAAACAGATATATTTGCAAATAATATATCATTAACAACGTTTGGAAAAAAAAGGAGAAACTTTACACAGTTTTTATTGAAACAATCAGTACCGAGACAATATGATAATTCGTTTTACATGTCAATTCAGCAACTATTGAAACATTTAATTAAGATTTGTTAACATAGTAACTATTAGTACGTAATTTCCGCGTCTTTTGAAAGTTCCCTCAACTCGCACTAAAGTAATTTATACAGAATTTGCAAAATTTGCAAAAGTAGACTTAATTTTTTTTAACTAACTAAGGAAATGTTAAACGAAATATTTGGACATATACAATTCTGGAACAATTAATAATAAATTTACAACAATGCAACTTTTGCTGTAACGAAAGTGTTCGAAAGCCTTCTTGATAGTGTCATTATAGATTTGTTGAACGACCAAAAAAAATTTTATAAAGGATGAAGTTGAAATGAAAGGAACATTACAGCTTTAATTATCAGACAAATTTTTATATTTAAATGTTACAATTGGTTCAAAAATTTCGAAAGAATTATGAAATTCTCTTGTGCAGTGCCTGATGTTGGTACCGTGTTCGTGGACGCGTTACGAGTTTCGTTTTCTTGCCATATATGTTGGCAACGCGCAAAAATTGTTTCAGCGAAATTCGCTATTTAACCAAATTTAATGGACGTGAGAGCGAGCGTGAACTTATTAGAATAAACGTGGACGTTCGAGAGACTGTGCGTTCTAATCGGTGAATCTTCCAATAACCCGTAACGAAAATGAGTGAACTCGTTTGGGGTATAAAAAATGGTGATTTGGAGCAAGTGCGGGATATCGTTGAGAATAAGGCAAATAGAAGACGTTCAATTTCCTTTCGCTTTGCTTTTGACTGTCGGCTAATCGGAAATGTCATAATGATACATTACTTATAGCTTCTTTTTAAATTCGTTACACATTTTAGAATTTACTGTGTATAAAAAATTGAGCGTAACAAAAGAATGGCTGTAAAAATTATCCGTATTTTCTTTTTACATATCGAATATGCTTTTTTTTTTTAATTAATGTAAATTTTATAAGTACATTTCTGTTAACAGAATATTGACGTTAATCAAATGATTGATGGGAGGACACCACTGCATTATGCAGCTGATTATGGTCAGAGTGAAGTCGTCAGATACCTCTTGGAAAAGGGTGCAAATGCAAATGTAAATATGTTTTAAAAGTTTAGATTGATATGTGTGATAGAAGGGTAAGAGTGGGGTTCATATGAAATTTATTGAGTGGACTACAAAATATAGAGGTTCAACTTCTTTCACACATGTCATATATCTTATGTATATTTGTATATACATACATACTTAATTTATTAAGTTGCACATATAGGATAGAAATATGAATCTTTTTATAAAATCTATCTAATTATTTTATTATACTTTTTTTATATCGAAAAAATGCGATACAAAAAAATTTGTACCAATGAAAGCAATATATATATATAATATTACAGTAATGTACGTTTATTTATAGGCTACAGACAAGCATGGTATAACAACATTATTAGCAGCAATTTGGGAAGGACATACAAATTGTGTAAAATTGTTATTAGAAAAAGGAGCTAAACCAGATGGTCTAACACCAGATGGAATGAGTTATTTGGATGCTGCCGAGAAAGATGAGATTAAACAGCTGCTTAATCTTCACTAGCACAAAGCCGACCAAAACACAGAGCGATAATTTTGTTATTTTAGTATTTTAATGTTCCTCATAGGAGTATCACCATTGCTTTCTCTTAATTTTCTTGCATATGACTAGACTATCGTATTTATGCACTTTGAATTAAAAGATATAGGTACACAAATGTAGTTTTATAATAATATATCGCACATTTGGAGTGTATAATCATGAACTCATAGTCTTACACAGTTATACTTAGGAATTTCGAAGTATATATAATTTCAGCTTTAAAGTAGTATATTGTACTAGTTTTTTTTTTTTATGAAACTAACACAAGAACAAATTTATTTTTTAAAACATCTAATCACATATAGCAGAAGATATTTTAATATA